CTGAGGGTTAGGGGTGGACGGTACTTAAGTCAATTGGAACTGCAACAATAAGAGGAATCCTACAACTTACAGCTTTCATCTGCAACTGTATCAATGACAAAGTGCTTCTTGTGATATCAGTCCCAGCTTTACACACAAAAGTTATCTGCCAAAATCATTCCTATTGTATTTCATATCTATAATCGTACAAGTTTTCTTCACTATTCATAAAAAAGAGAGACAAACGGCAAAGCTGTTGAGAGTATAGTTCCCCAGAGCTCTTCACAGTCATTCACTTTTTTCCTCTTTGTATCATCTTTGAAGTACAAACTGCATTTGATTCAAGATAAAGCCCTTTTTAAAATTTTAACATGTAACTAAATGACATGTAAAATTTCCAATGAAATTTAGTTTTTGAAACTGTAAAAGGATCCCTAAATCAGTTTTTAAATAGTAGCTTTCCAAAATTCTGATAATGAAGAAATCTAAAAATACAAATGGAATGAACACAGCCAGATTTCATAAATTTTAGTAAAATTGTAGTTATGCTGATTTAAAGAAAAATCAATATATTAAAAAGTAATGTTTCTGAATACATCCTTTAATAGATACTTTCTGGAAACACACAGTGGCAGAAAAATCTCTTAAACACAATAGACGATACATGCAGTACCCCCAAAATGCATAAACTCTAGCAGCACCAAGAGACTCTATCATCTAAACATTAAAGAATTAAAATATAATCAGTGCTTAAAACAGCCCATTTTTCATTCACATAATCAAACTGTTATTAACATTTATCAGTACAAAAATAGTTTCACAAGCTACTAATGTCTATATATCTGTTTATAATGCTCAAATATATAGCAGCAGTTATTTGTCACATTTATCATATATAACTGTATCTCTGAGGGCCATAAATTTAAAATACACAAAATTAATAGTTTTAGTTTTCAATACTATATTTCAGTATTATATTCTAACAACATGAGGATGCTATAAAATTAACTATTTCCAAGAGAATTTTAAATAGCTTTAAATCTTAAACACAAAAAATCCTGGAATTTATTATTATTAAGAAATAACAAATAAATTTCAGAATTCCACAGAGTTGATGCTATGAAGCAAATAATACTCCCTGGAATAAAAGAACAAAACCTTCCCCATATGTATATGCTAGTCTATTAGTCTATAGCTACTTTATTTAGTAAATAGCTAACCTAAGACTACTGTCTCAAATGATATCCTGAACATTCAAGTGAGCCACAGTGTATACCTGCACAGTCTCAAAAGGATATTATCATTTAGTTTAAAAAGTAATTTTTAAGAAAAAAATGCCATTTAGATATAATTTAATATCATTTCCCATAAGAAATTAGTAAGTGTTTTCATCCTCATGATCTGCCTCTTTTTCACATCCTTAAACTTTAAAAGCACTTAAATAGATATTAATTTATTGAAACTTATTCAACGAGAATGTTTTTGCATAGTTTATGGCAAGGACATAAAACAGTCCTATAGCACTTGACTGAGGAGTATTGAGCAGCCCATTCATTTTAAAATTTAGTTATGATGTATAATAAAAATCTAAGAAATGAATAATTCAAGTAACCCTATAATGCCACTGAGTTAGACAGAAAACAAAAAGTTGTATTAGCTTCAGAAATAACTTTTATATAAGTTCACAAGTAATTTTAAAGAAGTATTTGTGGATGAAATTATATGTCTGAGATTTGCCTTAAAAATAATCTCAGAAGTGGAAGAGTCTGTAGGGATAGAAATGAAACAAGAATGACCATTTTTTCATAACTGTTAAGACTAGGTGATGTATGTGTTCATGGGAGTTCATAACAGTATTCTCTCTTTCATATAATTTTGAAACTTTGTATAGATTTAAAGAGTAACAAAAATTTTTGCTTATATCTTTAAGCTAAGTGGTATTTTTTTGAAAATACACAAAGCTAACAGAGTTTGTAAAGAACAAACTATAATTACATTACTAAAATGTTCAGGACCAAATGAAAATCAGGGTCTTCTTTTGATATGTTAACTCATGAATTAATGAGATTAAGGCATCAATTCTGAATTCTAACAAGAGCAGAAATTGGCTAGCTAAGTAGCTATTACTATAATCAACTCTTAACTTGACTGACTAGATCCCTGTTCCCTATATCCTTCCTTTAAAAACAAAAACAAACAATAGAGATTTTAGCATTATGCTCCCTATTTATTAGTAAAATAGTATCAACCAGAACAGAAAAATGTTGGCAAAATATTTTTTTGCTATTCATGTTTCCTGTTAAAATAAGTACGTACTGAGTAGGGAATATAGTCAATAATATTTTAATAACTATATATGGTGTCAGATGGGTACTGGAGTTATGGGGAAATCACTTAGTTATATAAATGTCTAATCATTATGTTGTACACCTGAAACTAATATAATATTGAATGTCAACTATAATTAAAAAATAAAAGGAAAACTTTTAATGTACTAAGGAAGAAAGACAAAATGGTCTAAATAAGCCTTAAAACAGATTTTAATTATCTTCCAGTGATCTTTTCTCTACACAGGAAAATAGGAACAGTTAATCAGCACACATATAAATATGTACATTACTGAAACAAAATTTCTACTCTTTTTTTTTTAAATCCTCACCCGAGGACAGGCTTAGAGAGAGGAAGAGGAGAGGGGAGAGAAGGGAGGGGGGAAAGAGAGAGACAGAGAGAGACATCGATTGATCGTCCTCTGCATGAGCACCAATAGGGAATTGAACTGCAACCCATGCGCATGTTCCAACCGGAATCGAACTGGCAGCCCTTTGGCGCACTGGATATCGCTCAACCAACAAAGCCACTCCAGCTGGGCTAAAGTTTCTACTCTTAATGTGAGCTTTACTCTGATGTTTCCTATTTGGCTTTATTATATTTCATTTTTCAGAATGCCATGAATAACCTAAATTAATTTTAAATTACCACAGTTTGAAAAATCCTAGATTATATAATCTCTGAGGTCTCTCCTAACTGATATTTTGGGATTCTAACATTAACTACAATATACATCATCTTTTGTCGATGGTAAAAGTCAAAACAAGGTCAGAGAATAAGTCTAAAATCCTATAGCTAAAATGTTTTTACAATAATAAGAAAACTATAAGATTATGTAATGCTTTTAACACAATTAAAAGCTTAAATTGACCTGTTAAGTTTCACTTTCAGAACTCAAATATCTCCAGGGCTAATCACCTGATTACCAATCCCAGTTAGAAACTCCAAATACCAAGGATTAGCAAAACAATAAACATTCAGAAAACTTTGGGTGCATAAAGTAAACTAGAAATAGCATTTACAGATATTAAATAAAGAAATTCTATTTCTAAATGCTACACTACTCAATGCACATGACTTGATTGTTGCAAAGAAATGAAGTTTATAATTATACTCAGTGTAGTGAAGTCTATTTATTAAATGGATATATTAAATATAATTTAATAGGAAAGGACATTTTCCTCCCTCAACATATTTTTTAAAATTGCATACTAATCACATTGATCTTTAATTGTAATTGCATATTTTAAAAACCTGAATGTTTTACAAATCACAGTCTTCAGATCAGAACTAAAATTTTTCATGTGTTCAGTCGTTTTTACAGCTATAGAAAAGAGAACATGCTTAATCTGAATAGTAAAGCATGATCTCCATGATAATTCCAAGATATGTCTGTTTGTGCAAATTAGCATTTTTTGGAAATAAATTAGAATAGTCTCACTGTCAAATAGTTTCTATCCATTCATTCATTTTAAAAAAAAACCTTACCTAATTTCTTCTTCCTGAGCCTGACCATGAAGTCCCTCAATGCTAGTCTCTAATACAGCGGTTCTCAACCTGTGGGTTGCGACCCCTTTGGCGGTCGAACGACCCTTTCACAGGGGTCGCCTAAGACCATCCTGCATATCAGATATTTATATTACGATTCATAACAATAGCAACATTACAGTTATGAAGTAGCAACGAAAATAATTTTATGATTGGGTCACAACATGAGGAACTGTATTTCAAGGTCCAGAAGGCTGAGAACCACTGCAATATGTTCAATCCTATGCCCCTAACATCCAACAAGTTCAGTCAAAATTAAAGGCTCTCATAAAAAAGAGTTAGGAATATCTCACTTCACAATTCTTCTGAATATGCTAAAGAATTTGATTTTTTTAAAATTGGTCCAAAAAGAGATGCACAACAAAGAAAAATTGTTTTCTTAATTTCAATGAAAACTACCCAGTCAAAAATTGCCAAAGAAGCGTAAAAATGAACTTTAAGACATCGACTGATAGGTATTTGTTTACATTTGCAATAATGCAGTTTCATAGACCTCCTTACATTCCCAAAATCCCACAATGCGGCCCATAATTAATGTGACTGATTTGGAACACATGTAGGATAAACTGTACCTGCTTAAAGTATATCAAATTCTTTTTTAAAATTCAGAAGCATGTGAAGATTTATTTTCTGTTAGTTGGTGTGCAAAAATAATTCTCACATTAACAGGTTTATTCTAGACGTTATCCCAGTAACTTGCTTCCTTCTGTGAAATCATACCGTGAGATCACCTCTAAGACTATGGTAAGCTTAAGTTCAGAGTAGGAAATTATTTTTTAAAAATTATATCCCTCAAGAACATACATGAAAATGGAAACCAGATTAACACAGGGAGCCTTTCAGCAACTGTGTTAGAAAATAAGAAGAGACTTACAGTAATACATATGCTGTCTCACTGAAAAATGATTTGTACTGTTATTAGTGCAGTAGCCCTTTTTTATATACAGATAAAGGAAATATTCATTCCTGCCCATCCAGGCAACTATAAATTATTAAAATCTTTCTGAGGTTAACAGAAACAGTTAAAAACATCTGACCTGGAATTTTCACTCAGGGTTATAACTTTGCAAGATTCATCCAAAACCCAAATAACTTTCCATGTTTACATATTTTACTGAATCATGATGGTTGAATTGAATTTGTACCTATGTGAAAATGGCAATGCATTCTGAGTTGGTTCAGCCCTTGACTCTGAGTTCTGGGTGACATCAGGTGTTCTTTCGTCGTCTGTCCCATTGATACTTTCTGGTGTTAAAGGAGACTGAAGATCCCCGCCTGCCGATTCCTTAAAAACAAAGGGATAAAAAAAAGTGTTATACTTCTACTAAAAGACACAAGATCATCTTAAAGTTAAAACTGACTCTGATGTATGCTTTCTTATGAACTATATTTCAATTAAAATTTAAATCAGACTTAAAAATGAAATTTGAAGGGGAAATAATTTTTTAAAGCAAGCAGCTCACAATAAAACTATCTGAAACCCTAACACAATTTAGAATATAGCTGCAAAGAACTGAAACACTTTGGGGCTTACATAAGCAACTAGTTAGAATAAAAGATATTCAACGAATTGCTTGAGAAGAAAGAGAAGAGGGCACAAAAATGCAAGAAGATGTGAGGTTTTATTTGGGAGGGTATGACAGAAAAGTGGAGAGAGAAATCTTCAAGAAGTTTTAACTTTTTTTATCGACCCTACTTTTCAATTCTTGGAATTATTTAGAAAAACAGTCAGAAATACCTCTATAACATACATAATGATGTCAGTATATTTCAGCCTTTCTTGACTCCTACTCAAAATGGAATTATTTTTCTTCACAAAATTTCCTCTTATATCTACTTTTAATTGATCTGTCTATCAAGGTAAATTTAACGCATCCCTTAGGAAAATAAATGGAATTTAAGATGAAGCTCAAGCTGACACTTATTCTTGCATCTGCCATGATCAAATTACCCAAATTTGATATCAGAAATCAGAATGAGGGGGTCATTTGATAAACTGTTAACCAGGTGAGGTTCTAGCATGAGATACCGAAAGAGCAGCTTGGTGGACCCCTTGTGACTGCTGGGAAATAGAACTTCACACCTGAAATATTAGGCTATTGTTAGGGAAGAAAATGAAAATATCACTAGGGAACTGGTTAGGTATGGTCACAATTTGTCAACTTAGAATACAAGATTTCCTAAAATAAAATCAAGGAGAATATGTGTAATACAGGGAAATGCTTCTAATTAGGAAAAAACATAGAAGAATATAAGGAGATAGCCTACATTATGATAATTATATACTTTACATGAAAAATCTTGCACATGAAGTGCTGGGAAGAAATATGGAAAATATTGATGTGGTGAGACTTTTTTTTTGAGGGGGCTTATGGTTTTACACCACCGAATGCATTTTATTTCACACTTAAATATAATTTAGCTAATAGTACCACAATGCTATAAATTATATAAGCTATCAAAGATCAAAAGATGACTCTCTTGATTCCACATTATCACTTAATTATTTTTTAAATATTAATGGAACCTCTATTTCAACCTTTAATTTCACTCATTAAATCTTTCTCCTGAATCCTCTTTGTTTCCACTAACAGTCAATGCATGGATAAAGTTTATAAGATAATGTGCAACATAAAATTGTTTACAACAAAGTCAAATCATGCTAAGGGAATAATGGGAACACTATCCAAAGTGGCTCCTTCCAGGTCAATTATGGGCAATATCATAAAAATGACAGAAAAATCTATTAATAGCACATTCAGATTTCTTTGCAAGTGCCAAGGGTTAGCTCTATTTTGAGAAAAAAAATATCCAGAAAATTGCAGGCAATTAATTATTGGTATAATTTATGTAAGAAAGACAACTTGGAATTCCAATCAATTCATATTCAAAGAAAAGGCTTCAACTCTAATCAAAATATGGGTGAGTAAATAAACATAATAATATTGAATTTTAATTTATAAATTTTAAAGAATCTTTTAAAAATTCTTCACATTCACTGACTTTTTAGATTAACTCATCAATTACTAGTTTTGATTCCAACCAGAGAGAGCTTGTGCTGTATCCCCTCCTGTCCTCTCAACCGAACCCACTTTCCACCTGCTCTTCAACCTCAAGACTAACAATCTTTGGTTTTATTTCTCTCCATACATCAGAAAGCCAATCATGTTAATTACACTCTCACTAGCATCATCCCAATTTTCGGGTTTCCTTTACCTTTTATAACATCTATGTTGTCAATTTAAATTTCATATAAAATGAACCATCATTCCCTATTCTCATGTGCCCAAGCTACCGAGAGCTATAAGAGAAAATATACTGTTAAATATGCTGATTGGTGCCGTGAAGATAATTTTGAACTCTGACTTTAATTATGCTCTTGAAGTGCCGAGTAATCTTTACCTACTCCCTTTGACTCTTCTTTTTTTCTTTACCTAACAGCTGTTCCAAACCTCTGCTCAAGCCTTCTCTCTTTTTAGTTGTCCTTCCTCTCAGTGAATGACTGAATTCTTCTTTCACAGAGAAACTAGAAATAAATTGGCATAGGCTTCCTCAATCTCCCTCTTATCTGTATCTGAATCCATTTTTATTCTTCCTTCCTGTCTCAGAGTGGCTAATTTGTTTCCATCCTCTCCCCTCACAACAGTACCTTCTGCATAATGCTCCATCTATGATCCCTTCCTTCTATTCTTCTCTTTCTCCTTCCTGACTCAATTTAAAAGTCTTAGACAAATGACAGCTAAATTGTTTTTCTAGACTCCACTGAAGAAAAATTTTGATATCTGAGTATATAAACCTTTTATCTTTAATGCATATTCTGAGAAAAATACCTAACAAGTTAACTGGAATACAGTATTTTTACTGTGAACCATATAAAAAATTTCAGGAGTAGAACCAATCATAACTCTTGATTTGATATAAAATTAACTGTTTATAAGATTTCCATGGAAACATAAGAACATAAGATCTTCCATAGAGGAAAATGTTCTAAATTAATGTCTATTATTTAAAGAGTGATATGAAAGAAACTAACAACATGTAATTCAACCTATTCCTAAAGATGCAACCTTGATCAAGAAAACATTAAGATTATTGGTAATACTTTCAACAATAAGGAATCATTTAAAAAAAAGATTATCTGACATGATCGCACTCGGGAGTCTAAGAATGGGGAAGTGGATAACTTTGCTCTAAATGCCAGACTGCTTTCAGAGAGGTGGGATGGTTTGTCCATGGCACTGCTTCTCATAGTGTGGTCCCCAGACTGACAGCATCAGCATCTCTGGAAACTTGTTAGAAATGCACATTCCTGCGCCCCATCTCAGCCTCACCAAATCAGACTTCTTCGGGTGGGAACCAGCAACTTGTGTTTTAACAACTCTTCCAGGGGATTCTGATGCAGGCTTTATTCAATTAAGGAATTTGTGTTTTTCTAAATAACTGTTATGTGCCAGATCCTATGTCGAGGCTTTACATCATTATCTTCACCATAGCAACCACATCACCAACAACAGCTGTTAACATTAAGCATTTACTATATGCCAAGCATTTTGTAATCCTCATTCAATTCTCACAAAACCCTATAAGAAGATAACTGTTCTTATTCCCATTTTATAGATTTTTTTAAAATAGTAACTTGCTTAAATCAGAAAACCAGATTCAAAAACAGTCTCGATTGCCATGATCGTATGACACTGTCTTAATGTCATCCTATATAATAAAAGGCTAATATGCAAATTGTCCCCTCAACCAGGAGTTCGACTGGGAGTTCAACCCAGAGTTTGACCAGGGGGCAGGGCCGGCTGGCCAACCACCCGTGGGCCCTCCCCCTAGCCGGCCTGGCCCCAATCAGGGGGGGCCAGCCAGACCCCACCCATACATGAATTCATGCACTGGGCCTCTAGTCTGTTATATTAACGTTGCCATTATCATACTTGTTCCTTCCGATCATCCTATAAAGCAAGTAATGAAATACTCGTGTTACAGATACATAAGCAATTTTAGCAATATCACAGAGTGACAGAAAAAGGATTTATGACTAAGCCCATCAGACTTGAACACCCATACTCTTAACCACTTGTTTATCCCTCCTCAAACAAAAACAAAAGCTATGCCTAAGTGTTTATTATTATTAATTATCCCATATAACCTTCTGATCCTTTCGCTAAATTCATGAGCCATATTCTATTCTCCAGGCAGAGCGTTAATTTAGCAGGTTGGGTTAAACCACTGAGAACCAAGCTCTGTTCTCTAGCTGAACAGGATCGGAGTAGCCAGCGTTCAAACACTGCAAACTAAAACAAATATTAATGACACCTGTAATGGACTGTCACAAAAAGGGGAGAAAAGAGAAGTGAAAAGAAATACTTTTTCTTTTCTTTTTTCCCCCCCACTATTTCTCTGGCTTCAATTAACAATCAAACTTCAAATATTTTGAAAAGATTAATTGGTGTCAATATATTTTGGCTCTCAAATACTGATGAGCTTATGGTATGTCTTGGATATATCCCTTCAGTGAATGTAAAGGCTTAAAGACACTCCTTCCACCAAAGAGGAGCAGGTATCTTAGCAACCTGTAGTAGTTCATGGCCAATTAAACAAAAGCAAGTTATGATTGGAGAAACAGAAACTAGGTACAAAGGCAAAATGTAATCATTATAGTTTCACTGGAATCATCTGAGTATGCTCTTACACTACAATCATTCACACGAGTAACTGACGCTCCCAGCACGTCCTGGTACTAAATTTTAAATAGGCTTTTAAGCTTAAAAGTATCACTATACCATCAGAGCACTCAGGGAAGATAGATTCAAAGGAAATTTCAAAATTATCATTCATGTTATTCCTGGCCACTGTTAGTACAGAGATGGTATAATGAAGCTTCAATCCAGAGTAAACCTTTAGTCTGTGAGGAAACATGTACTTTAAGCATACTTAAGAGAGCTTTCCTTTCCTTTAAAAAAAAAAAATACACACCCAAAACTCTTTACACCAGTAGGGTTTGCCAAATCAAGTTTGGTGCCGGGTTGGGGAAGGAAGTGAATAGTGAAAGTTTTCTAAAATGTCCCAATCGTTTGGCTAGTCACTAAATTCCAAGGCAATTTCTATCTACTTCCTCAAGGAAGTTTTATGTAAGTCTGCTACTAATGACATCATTCCAGAGAAACATCTGTACATCTGATCTTCATAAAACTCCCAAGGAAACTTCAAAAATAATTGCTAAAGAGAAAAAGCACAAAACTGAACTCTACTCCTGTTTTCCTGAGCCTCCCCTGTCTGTGTCTCCTCTAGTAGCCGCACCTCAGTGACTAGCACAGAACACAAACAATAGGTCGGTCTATGCTCTATATGTACGATGATTTTTTAAGTTGTAGCCACATTTTTAAAAATCTGCGTTACAATTGCTAAGCTAATCCCTCCCCACCCCCAGATTCTTGTAGACACTGGCATATAGGATAAACACCTTTCTTTCTTGACTAGTACAGATGAACTAAAGGGTACATTTCTGTGTTCACTTTGAAAATTATCTTAATTTTGCCATTATGTTCTTAAGTTTGACTCTGGCATAAAGGATATCATCTAAAATGAACAAGGCTCATAAATAAGAATGGAAATTAAATACCCACCTGTGAAGGTGTACTGGTAAGTTCCATCTTTTCTTGTGATTTCTCCTTTGCTAGTCGAGCAGCTTCTTTAAATTCCTGAAACTTTTCTGCAAACTGAATGTATAAAGACTATATACATTAACCAAATAAAAATAAGTTGCAATGCTCACTTTTACCTTAATTTTCTTTTATCTTTTCTATAACTGACTCTTATGCATGCAACCTACCCCTCAAATCAATTATAAGTATAATATGAAAATGACAAAAAAAGAAACCAAATACCAAACATATGTATACTGCAAAGTACATTGACAAACCTCATTCAAAAACATCATAACATAACTAAGTTAGAATCTGGTGTCAGCTAGCTTACCTATGTCCTTCCTTGGTTTTTCATATATACTTTACTAAGATGGGGGGGCGGGCGGTGGTTACACATTGGGAGAGGAATCAGTAAAGATGGGCATACCATGTTTGTTTATCATGGAAAAAAGGGAATCTCTTAAGTATCAACTCCTAAACATCTCAGTATCTGGAGCATGCTCTTAACTTTTACTATAATATAAACTCTTATATTATGAAGGTATTTTATTTTCAACAATACAAACAGCAACATTTACTATTACCACTAACTGGCATTAATAAAACTTCATTTCTAAAGACTCCTAAACAGCCAATGTACAGCAGCAGAAGGAATAATATGTCTCCACAAAGGTCTTTCAGATTGGTAACAATTTAAAAAATTACTGTACATAAAATGCTAATTCTTAGGAACTCACAGAAATCTATAAACGTCACAGCCACAAATACTACCTTATCTATGTATTGGAAGCAGATACTAGTTTACCACTATTCTCAGGGAGAGTAAGTTATGATTACAAAATAACCAAATTTAAAAATCTAAAATCTCTTTTTCCTGGCCGGGTGGCCTGGTTGGAGCATCGTCCCGTACAACAAAAGGTTTCAGGTTCGATTCCCAATCAGAGCACATACCTAGGTTGCTGGTTCAATTCCCTGTCAGGTGCGTATAGGAGACAACCAATCTCTCTCTCTCTCTCTCTCTCTCTCTCTCTCTCTCTCTCTCTCTCTCTCTCTCTCTCTCATAAATAAAAAGCATATCCTGTGAGGACTAAAAAAACAAACAAACAAAATAAACCCTAAAAATCTCTATGCAACTGAAACCACCTGGTTAAAGTTAGTTATAAAAATATGAAATGATCGTTCTCTCCTCAAACCCCATAAGCCAACCCTGATTTCATTTCTGTCTTGGGAAGGAAAGCTTTGGTAGGAAAGGCTCATGATACTCTGATGTGCCTTTGGGAAATAGAGGAGGATCAAAATTAGAGTTGTCATTGCAACTTTTCCTTCTTGCTTTAAATCTTTCACCTCCTCCTACAACTTGTAGATCTGGGAAGTGAATCTCTATACTATACTTTAGTTTCTGTGCTAATTAAACAGAACATCTCCTTACAGAAAAGAAAAAAAAACTGAATACAAAGCTTGAAAGGTCTTATTCATGTTGGTGGAATTAATTAACCATAATTAATTTCTCTTTATGTAATCTGTAGTACAGAAAGCTTTTCTTACACTCATTTAGCATTCCACAGTAGTTAATATTTAAAACCCTTCTCAACTTCACAAAGATCTATGCTATTGCTAATTTTTAAAGATTTAAGTTTCCATGATAACAAAATACAATGCAGGACGCACTACAAGCATAGCTGTAACTTTTCTCATACATCAACCTTAACGAACCACCCTGTTCTAATACTGCCACTCGCCCTTACTTTGAGAGGCCTCTGTCTACAATTGCCTTTAGGGGCTTCTCCAACCCCTTGCACTCATTTATATATTTTAATGATAAAACAAGTCAGAATATTTACATGTTTGCTTCATTTATATAAAATATTATACACTCCGTTGGGTCCTTTACAGTCTATAAAGCATCCACATTAGACTTCAAGGTTAGTCTCTTCAGAATGCTTTGTTCCAGATTAACTGTAAACTCTTGGAGCCAAATCTAGTGAATAAAAACCTGGACTTGGCTCTGAGAGCTAATAGGTTGTTTCCTGATAGTCAACCCACATGCAAAATACTAGAATTCACTACTGGTAAGGTTGGTCAAAAATATATGCTAATTTTAAGAAAGGAAAATAAAATTCTTGAAATATAAAAGCCATTCCCAGAAAAGAAGATCAAATGAGAGGAGACAGTATAATTGAACAGAATTTAATAAACTATTCCTTTATTACATTAGGTACTTTTCCACTAACCTGAAAGACACAATGAAAAACTTAATATATGATCAAAATTACTTAAGCTCAAAAATCATTTCATGCAAGTTTAGTGAAGATACTAAGCCACATTTTAGTTCCTGTGCTAACCAAAAATTCAGCAAGTGGAATATAATTATAGTTTTATTTTATTCTTGCTCTAGTCTGTAATGGATGGTTCCAAAAGAAAAGTTCTAAGGTTCTGAGTAATGGCAAAAGTATTAGAATAAACGTATAATTTCCTAAGGGAATTATTTATGGAGGGACAATGCTCAACCAGATACCTATGTCCCTGTTATGTTGAAATACTTTGAATCTAAAACTCATACCTCTACTACAGTTCAAGTAATGTATTTAGAGAATTAGATGGGTGTAAGAGAAATCAAAGCAGGTAGCTTGGTTGTTTTAATTATCCTATAAAGAATGACTTATAATCACCAAGGCAAAAGTTAAAATAGTCTAAAAATTGAGCTTCAAACTGCAATTTATGAAAAAGATAACATTTGAAAACAAGTGTTAAGGAATGTTTACAACTAAAACAAAAGGAAACAAAGTAGCTTATTTCATACTTATTCCTTACATACTCTTTCCATGTGACATCCACTGAACTATCTAATAGTAACCTCAAGTCAATAAATATTCACAAAAAGTGTAGGACTTTTAAAAAGAATCTGAATGACCCCAACTATTTGAAGTCTCAAGCCATGAGATCCTGTGTATACTAAAACACATGTAAAATGTTTCAAATGTAGGGTTGTCCTTCCAACTGAATGCTTCAGAGAAGTTTTCAGCATAAATCTTTGGGTCTGGTGAGCGTAAAATTTGAAGAGCAAAAGTGAGTAATACTCATTTTCTTCATCATCTTAGGGAGATTGTTTCCTCTTTTCCTTACACACTCTTTCCATGCGACAGCCACAGACTCAAGGTGTGAACACTGCTTGACTTGGCTTATAGGCAGGACAACTGTTTTGCTTCCTGGTGATGGTCTGTATTATATTGGCTTTTCTGGCCACAGTACCTGACTTGGTTAGTATTTCCCAAGAACTCCTCATAGTATCTATGGGGTCTCTGTATTGCATCAGAGAGCTCAGAGTAATTCTGACCCAGACAATGCACAGCTTTCCCTAAACATAGTGATTTATCTGTGTCTGCTGTCACGTCAGAAAGTTGAAATATATACCATTATCAACTTGAGTTTTCACAATTCATAAGAGCTTGGTGTCTACCTATCTTGCAGACCATCTCCAACTAAGGATGTAAAGTCATGAGCAAAATCCATTCTGAAGTGGTAATTCACATGTTTTATTTCCTATCATACACACAGTTAACTATGCAAAGCCTTCTCAATCAGCGGTGACTATTTTTAATGTGTGCAATGAATTTTCCAATTGACAACAGAATCCAATGATCTCTTCCTGCTTTAAAATTACAACATTCTGAGAATATTAAACAAATTTCTCCTATATATTATACACTCTCCATTTGCTACTATATATTTAAGATATCTGACCTGAAGACGAAGATTTCCACTGAGATCTGATGAATTAACTTACTTTTGAAAGATGATGCTCAGAAGAGAATCCCAGTCCATAAACAGTGTTTGCCCGGCTATCGGCCCACTGGCCAAACTTCTGAGATGTTTTCGTAAATGTCATGTTTGGGGTGATGGTGCTATTAATTATTGCCTGAAAAATAAAACAAATATGAGTAACCTGCCCAAAATTAGCAAACAGACATTTAAACACAGGGTTATTTCATTACATAAAAACTTAGGATTCTTAATTAGCCAGAACATTAAATATACAGTATAGTTATAAAAATAGTTTATATTATTGCAAGTGACAGAGTGGAAATAAGGTAACTACTAGAACTATAAATATAATGGCAATCTATCAAAAATTTCAATACCTTATAGTCAAAATAAGTTTTCTTATGATGCAAAAAATTTTAAAGAGCTTTTAATGTAATTAATTTCTTCCCTTTGAACATTTAGGGTCAATATCTATTAATTTTATTTAACATCTATTAATTTTGGTGATAGTCACTAAAAACAAGTAAGTTTTAATAGTTATTTCTTTAAAATAGTTAGCTCCCACTCTCCAAAAAATCTTTCAAAAATGAATACATCAATAGGACAAATTTTCTATTTGTACACGAATTTTCTAAAATGCATAATCAACACTTTTCCAAAACCTGACTTACCTGAAATATATCATGATAAAGAAAAGACTTTCAATCATTTAGTATTTTTCCTTTACTCAAGGGAAAAACAAACCCCTAAATACATACTTTATTTCTTTTCTGATAAAGTGGTATAAATTCATGATCTTGAGAATCACTATCATTTCTGTTTAACACATAGTTTCTTAGAAAACTAGTATTTTAGTATGTTTTTAATATTAACTTTGGTGATCACTAAAATTATAACATATTAACTTAAATTCATTTCCTCTGTCAGTACTGTAAAAGTATAGAACCCATTTTAAGTTTAATGCCCTCCAAAAATTGAGATTACAAAGTGATTCAATAATAATAAAAATGCACATGTGATCACATTCATAAGTGGTTTTCTGGAAAATTATTAAATATGGAATAAAAATCAAGCATTTTTAGAACAAAGCTAAATGTTTACCATGTGAACAACTGTATAATGCAAATATTTGAGCTAAGCAGGTACTAGTGAAGTTACAATAATGAATGTATGACACCTGCCTGCTAAAGAAGACAGTAGAAGAGAGAGTGGTCCCTTGCTTTCTCTTACAGACAGTAAATGTGTTACCTGTTGTTATATGGAGCCCCTGTCCTTGATTAAGCTTTTTGTTTACCTCTTACAAAATTTATATGCTCATATACCTCCTTACTCTTCAATTCAAAAGCTGCTTTTCCTAGCATGTCATTTTAGATCCTGTAAAATGTGGCTAATAACTGCACTCATTTGCGAGATTGTCATCAAATGGAAAGACTGAATGGAAAAGAATATACAGTAGTCCCCCTATATCCAGTTTCAGTTACCTGTGAACAACAGAAGTCTGAAATATTATATGGAAAATTCCCAGAAATAAACAATTCATAAGTTTAAGTTGCATGCTGCTCTGAGTAGTATGATGAAATCTCTCACTGTCTTGTCTTGCCTTTGAATCATGCCTCCTGAGTCATGCCTTTGTCCAGCATTAGCCACACTACATACGCTACCTGCCCATAGTCACTTAGTACCTGTCTAGGTTATCAGGCTGACTGTTGAATGTCACACTGTGTTCAAGTGACCTTTATTTCACTTAATAATGGCCCCAAAGCACAAGAGTAGTGACACTGGCAATTTGAATATACCAAAGAAAAAGTATGTTTGTACAGGAAAAAATTCAGTTCTATCTGCACTTTCAGGCATCCACTCACAGTCTTGGAAGTATTTTCTGTGGATAAGGGGGAACTACTGAATTAATTTGCTAAGGAATCATTTGGTTATTCAACTATTTTATTGAGTACCTATTAATGTCAAGCACAATTCTATAAACTTGAGATACAACAAGAGGCAATATGATTGTGGATCACATTTTAGAGCAAAAAGCATCAGTCAATGACCACGTAAATAAATAGCTGACCAATTTTCCGTGAATGGTGAGTGCTTATGAAGACCATAAGACCAGGATATGATAGAGACTGAAAGGCTAGACAGCCAGGACTGTCAGGCACTACTTTAGATCCCCTGGTCCTGGAGTATTCCCTGAGGAAGGCACATTTGCGTTTTCAAGAAGAGAAGGGCATTTAACATGTTACCCTAATTAACTCAGAAAGTGAGATGGCGATAGGGGTTACAGGCAGCTGAGGAAACCCACCCATGTGCTGTTGGTACTGACCTTCAGTTTTAACTATTTCAAATGAACTTTTTTCTACTTTTCAGTTTAAGAGTTTCGTTTTAATCCTCATTCTGAACATTTCCTTACAAATATATTGTATTAGACTTCCTTGAATAGAATGCTACAATGAATCCATTTAAAAGAAAAAAAATTAGCTCTATAAAATAAACATGTCTCTCAATCCCAAAGTTCTTGTCCTTTCAAGGAGAAGAATTAGAAATGCTGTGTTCTTACAGATCATGTAGTCCCTGATCCTGGCCCCTGGCCACGCTGATGCCTCTGCAAACTGTATATGCACAGTACAAGCACATTTTCTAGTCAGGGCACCTAAGGCCTTCTCAACTGATCACGCTGTGCAGAAACAGAAGTGAGGGTGGTAAGAAAAACACTCATTTAGCTGCATCAAATAAACCAGTAGTGCTTATAAAAAACAAACAAAAACCCCCCGACAACTCCTGCAGGGAACTGCAGTGGTTAACAGCATCAGCTTAGAAAGGTAACTAGAAAGTAGAAAATGTGATAGAAAAATGTAATTGCTACAGAGGGTAGATTTTCTTAAAAGAAACGAAACAAACACTTCTTCATAAGAGTTATTTAAGAGCCTAAAAATTACAAGCTGCAAAGTATACTCAAAAATAAAAATGCCAGAAGCAATAGTTCATATTGCTGCAGAAGGAAGACACACGAGGATTACTTAATCACATAGTACATGAGACTACCTCATTTTAACTTCATTTTTTATACCATTTAACTCTCCTGTCTAATAAAATGACATTTTATCTGTGGTTTGGGCCAAGAGAGAAACACACATTATAGAGAACTAAAGATTCGAATCAGGGAAAAGAAATAAATTAACATTCTAGAGTCTAAATTAATAATAATTAATATCTGTTAATTTCACTAAATACTTATAAAATATGACAAAATTGTTCTTCATTTACAAAAAAAAAACACTTTCAGACTTGTATGCATGCATCTAAGAACAACCAACAGACGCAAGACACTGGGGGCGCAGGGGAGAGGGGGACAAGGGCAAATGCTGGGGGATAGGGGAGGCCGGGGGGAGGTCAGTGGGGAAAAAAAAAGGAAACATATGTACTACTATTTGTAATACCTTAAACAATAAAATTAAATTTAAAAAAACCTTCACAGAAATTAACTATTTCAATTTCCCAAGTCCTTTAAATCCTCCAAATGAAAATGAAAATAGGATCAATTATTCAAATAAATACAAGTTAGTCACTTGTGAACCGAAGTACAAATAGCCCCTGGGTACTATAATCTAGTTAATGAGACAAGAAATGAGCACACAGAAAAGACTGAAGTTTGAGCATTAAATTAGATTTTCCTTTTATTCCCCCAAACCACTAAGTACTACATAATTAATAGCCTAATAATATTAATAATGATAACAGTAAGAGTTGTGTTTGTATAGGGATCACTATACACCCGTGAAGGGCTTTTGCCTAAATGTATTTCATCTTCACAATCCCACGGTATGATGACGTAGACAACTTACTAATTCTTTTTCACAGATGAGAAAACTGAGGCACTAAGACATTAAATATCTTGCTCTAGGCCAAATGGCTTATAAGTAGTAGAGCAAAAATTCAAACCAGACAGTCTTGGCTATATAGTCTGTGTCCTTAACCCCTAAACTAAATTGCTAAAATTTCTGAGAATAGAAAGGCCTCGTGGCTTCATGAACGCTGAAGAAAAAGAACGGAGCCCTCATTCTACACACTTTACATCCAGAATAGGATGCTTGGCATTTCTTTATCTTCATGTGTTGTTCAAGATTCACTGATGAAAAAGTGGTATCCATCAGGCACTGATCTAAGTGTTTTTGCAGATATTAACTCATTTAATCCTTACAGTTTCAAGCACTGAGGTGAGAACAATGAAGCTCAGAGAGGTAATTTGCCCAAAGTCAAAATCTTAGTAGATGGTACAGTTGAGACGTGAAATCAGGTAGTCTATGCTCTTAAATATTAGACTATCTGCCTCTCCTAAAAATAAAAATGTAGGAACTGTCCACATGCTTCTTTCTGAATGAGGGATGCTCAGAATAAACTTTAATATTGATACTGGCAGACTTCATATGATTTAGGGATTTTGAACAGCATACTAATCTATAAGAGTAGAAATTGCATCCACCCTATTCAACACTATATTTGTAGCCCCTAGCAAAATGCCTGACATATAACAGATAATCAATGAATATTTCCCAAATAAAACTGACCTCAGATTTGTAGAATATTTTGACATGTAATTTAGTATATAAGGTGATTAATCCAAATAATTTAGTGGACAAAAATGTCGCTACCTTAAAAATGACCAATGTTGGCCCAGCCAACGTGTCTCAGTGGTTGAGCATCAACCTATGAATCAGGAGGTCAAGGTTTGATTCCTGGTCAGGGCACATGCACAGGTTTCAGATTCAATCCCCAGTGTGGGGCATGCAGGAGACAGCCGATCAATGATTCTCTCTCATCACTGATGTTTCTATCTCTCTCTCCCTCTCCCTTCCTCTCTGAAATCAATAAAAAAAAAAAGTATTTTTTAAAAATGATCAATTTTGTTTTTTAAAGTTTTAAAATCTCTCAATATTTTAATAAAGATAAAATTCCTCTAAAACTGAGATGCTATACTGTATAAAGCAAAATAGCAAGATTATTTAAAATAAATGTAACTCACCTTTGAGCCATCTAAACTGATTATCCTATAGACATTTCTTGTGCTGTCATAGAAATAAGACACAGTAACTGCGTGCTTGCTGGTGGGTACCCAGTTCTTCTTTGTGTTTGGGTCAATCTGGAAGACATGAGCACGAGTGCTGAAGATGGGTTGTTCCCTGTGGGGGAGAAAATAAAATGACACTCTGAAACTAGCCGTTTTTATTCCACTGGACAATAAAACATGAAAACTATGAGGATGACCCCACTTAACCAAAAACTCCCCACATCCTGAAAACAAGAGAAACTTTCAAATTTGAATATTCTAAGTATTCAATCAGAAGCTTCTTTAAAACAATGACAGTCAATCCTCATTATTGAAGATTCTGTATTTGCGAATTTGCCTACTCAACAAAATGTATTTGTAACCCCAAAAGCAATGCCTAAGGTCCTTTCTTGGTCTTCTGCAGTGGAAAAATGTGCGTCCTTGGAAAAGCATGTTTCCATCTGACGCTGATCAAGGCAACACTCAGCCCTGCTGTTTCAGCTCTCATACCGTAATCAAGTGTCCTTTTTGTGTGATCTATTTAGCACCGGGTATTTTGCATTTCTGTGCTTCCTGTTGGTGCATTCCCTGTTTAAAATGGCCCCCCAAGCATAGTGCTGAAGTGCTATCTGTTCCTGGGGCAAGAGGCTGTGATGTGCCTTATGGAGTAAACATATGTTAGATAAGCTTTGCTCAGGCATGAGTTACAGTGCTAATGGCCTTGAGTTCAATGGTAATGAATCAAAACTATATATTAAATAAAGTATCGTTAAACAGAAACACATAAAACAAACTTAGGTATTGATGAGTTGATGAAAATGTTACGACAGAGGCTCACAGGGACCCTATAATCCCCCTAGGAGCAATGGGTCAAAATTCACAACTTCAGTGTTTGTGGAGCCTTTGTAAGAACATAACTATTGTGAATAATGAGAACTGACTATGCCTTGTTAAAATATACATCTTCTACTTGACCCTCACTAGGTTAAAGGTTGTTACCCATTTAAAACTACATTATTCTGGTAATAGGTAAATAACTTACTGAGAAAGTTTACATCAGTATAATCTCTATATTGAAAAGTATATAAAAAACTAAGTGGCTCACCACAACAGTATCTTTTAATTAGATCAAGTAGTGCCTTAAAGATGTACAAGAGATTTTAAAAATTATAACTTCAAGAACCAAAACTATTAAAATATTTAAAAATATATTCAAAATCTGACGATTACAGATTTTTTTACAATCTGAGATTGTCTGTATATAATAGAAGCATTATAATGCAAAAATTTTCAAGTTTGGAGTAAAATTTCTTTTGAAAACAGCAGCTATGAGACATTTCTCCCCCCCCCCCCCCCCCCCCAATAACACAACACCTTTCTTTCCTAAAGCAGATTAAGGTCCTAAAGAGAAGTTTAACTGGTATTTTTTAATAGTTAAAGTTAAAGTTAAAAGTTTTAAGGAAAGGAGAGTGTGGAAAAAAGAAATTAGAAGACAAGCAGGACAAATCTGGGTCCTTGACAAAACGGATCTTCAGATAAATAAAGGGCAGTGTGTCACGTGTCCCCTACGATCTCCTTCTGTCCTTGGAGAGCAGGTGTGAAAGGAGGGACTTCCCTGTAGGTCACCTGGCTCTTCCCAGTTTTGTTTCTGGAAACCTCTATAACAACTTTTCTTATTTAGAATATCTCTTTTGAAAGGAAGTGATATATTTTATGCCACTCCCTAAAAAGTGACAGAAAGTCATCATTTCTGGCTTAACTGCCATCATATATGGATTTCTTCAACAAATAAACTTTAACAATCTTGCACTGTGACAGAATAAAGAATTCTTCTGAATTGGGAGGTCTTATTCATTCCCTTTCCCCATCCTTAACTTTCAGTAAGGCTGTGCTACACTTGAGTTATCTTCCCAAAGCACTGCAGCCTCTAGTTTTCATTTTTTGCCTTTTAATTAAAGTCCCCAGTATAAATGTACTTGGCCGGACTGAGTGTGACTAATTCCAATTCACAAAATCTACTCACACAAAACTGTCTGTATTAAGGCATGTAAGGAAGAGAATGGAACACTCTAGTTTTTACCAACTTGATTAAAAAAATTTTTTTTTTATTTAACCGGGGTAAATTTCTAAATAGTGCAAGCTGGTAATTATAGAAATGTGTTCTAAAAAGTGTATTTTCTAAAAAACTAAAGTAGTTGTTAACACAATGATATTGCTTTTGCACTCAACAAATTCTTATTCAATGCAAATGCAATGTTTTGAGTCCAGTAAAAAAAATTCCCACATCACATTAATTCACTCAATTTAATTAATCTGCACAATTAATCCACACAGTTTAATTCTCTTCTAAATAAAAATCTTTAGAGTAAACTACTATTTTACAAGCAAATGACATTTGAAATCAATGAAATATATTGCTTTCTTCAATTCTCTCTGAATGGCTGATTTCTTAAAGAATGTTATAGTACAAGATTTCTGTAGCCAAAAGCCTACCAATTTAAATGATAAAAACTAAAAATATAATAATAATTTGACAGGGAACAGAATTCCTATAAGTAATGAGGATGTTACTATATCACTTAGGGCATACTAATAAATGATGCAAACTTTCATTGACTATCTACTACAAGCAAAAAACTGAGAGATGGTCCCCACCCTTAAAAAATTCAATTTGGCGAGGGAAGATAGATATGTTTAGAAATAAAATGTTCTTTCCCATGATATTCTCTTAAAGTGACTCCGGGCTGCCATGGAGAAATTGATGCCTAAGCAGTGTCTGAAACCAAGCATGGCACAGTGGGAAGAAGGCTCAGCACACTGGCCTGTGTAGCAAGAACTGCAGTGATTGTGAGTGACTTTGAAAAATAAGGCTAAATATAAAGAGAAGCCAGCTCACAAGGGTCCTGGCTGGAGGCTACTGAAAGATGTAAATACAGAACAGCTTTGCCTTTTAGAAAGATAAATTTGGCATCACTGAAGAGGGTGGATTGGGAAGAAAGAACATCAGAGAAAAGCAGGCTAGTCAAAACCATACAAAAAATAGGAGGTAGGAGTGGGATGAAGATATGAGGAAGGATTCAAGGTAAACTTAGAAAGTAGAATCAATAAGGTTAAGTAACAGATTAGACATGGGCAATGGTTCTCAAGGAGGGGTGATGTGTTCCTCAAGGGACATTTCAAAACATCTGGAGACATTTTTGGTTGGCCCAACTGAGGGAGATTACTATTAGCGCCTAAGGAGGAGAAGCCAGGGTTGGTTGCTAAACATCTACAATGCACAAGACAGCCGCACACAACAAAAAAGTATCCAGCCAAAAATGCCAATAGCGTCACGGCTGAGAAATCCTAACGCAGGAGATAAGGAAGGATCTGAGTCTCTCTCTCCTGGGTTTCTGGCTTAGGTGACTGAAAAGACGACAATGCCACTGGCCAGGGTGGGAAACAGAAAGTAAAGCCTGGGACTGGCAGGACAGCAGGGAGAGGATGAGCTCAGCTTTGACTAAGTTCAGGGCCCTTGCATGTAAAACTGTCAGCGCAGGAACTTAAAAATATTAGGCTGGGGCTCGGCAGAGAAAACCAAGCTGGAGTGAAAAGTGTGAGGAATCATCAAGAGATCTTATCGTGGCCTTGGCCAGCTGGCTCAGTTGGTTAGAGCGCACGGTATAAAAGTGTTCTATTACTCACACCGAGGAATAAAGGGAGAGTAGGAGAGAAGCACAAATCCAAACATGCCTAACTGCAGGCCTGGAAGTGCGGGAGATACATTCACCTCCTGGTGAAAACACTCCCCCCTCCCTGAGCCGTAAGTAAGAGAAAAAACATTCTATCTTCAGCTTGGTTTTTAGACTTTGAAGTGGCAAGAGAAGGTGGACAATACCTGTTGAGGCCAAAAGGACACGAGCAAGGATAAGACAAGGAGTGGACAGACACTAATGACCATGTAACTTCAGACGGAATGCCTGAAGAATTTACTTTCAGTGCCAATGTGAGGGCACAGCAAGTCTTCAGACAAGCTGAAGCTCAAGCACTAAAGTTTCTTCAAAAGAATTGTGCTGTGCAAATTAATAATATAAATTGTAGTTCCACTGATTATCGGGGAACCAGTTTAACTGCCCCCTGCCCAGCCCTCCAATGCAAAGGCTGTGACTGCATGTTACTATGTATTCCTACTACCATGTTATATGGTTAACAGCTGTTTGCTGATACATTTAGTTTTTTTTAAACACATGCTTACTTTAAGAAAGCAAAGATTAGTCTAATGGCTACCCAACACATAGTTGTACTGCAAGAACTCCATCTAGTGATGAACCAAAAACATAACAGGCATATGTTTTTTAAAACTTCCGTATATAGAAATACAAAATTGTGATGTTGCTATAACAGAGGTACATAGACATAAAATGTGACACTACCAACTGCAAAATGTCTTTTCTGGAAGTATTTTTTAAAATTGTATGATCCGAATTCCTTCATCTTTTATTTGGTTAAATGCACATTCAAATGAAAGATTTAGAAAATAATTGTCTGCATCACAACTGAGCATAAAAAATATTTTCAGTGACAAAAGTAAAGGGATTAAGTAAAAATTGTCTGTTATAAAATAGTCACAGGGATGTAAAGTACAGCATAAGGAATATAATCAATAATATTGTAATAACTGTATGGTGTTAGGTGGGTACAAGCCTTATACAGGGGACCGCTTCATAAATATCTGAGCACTATGCTGCACGCCTGAACTAATGTAATATTGAATGTCAACTGTAATTTAAAAATTTAAATAAAGAAATACTTTCATGACATCAAGTTGTTAATTGGCATATCTGAAGAAAATATCAAATAAATTAAAATTTTCCATTTGGAATTTAAGATTATCTATAATAATAAAAGCATAATATGCTAATTAGACCAGACACCCAAATGACCTTCCAGACAACATTCCAGGTGAAGCCGGGGCTGCGAGGGCTGAGGCAAGCTGCTGCAGCTGTGAGGGCTGAGCCCCTTGCATGAATTTCGTGCACCGGGCCTCTAGTTAAATTATAAAACTATACTTAAACATAAGAATACTGTTTATATTCCTTATATGCTATCCCTTATTTTAAAAATAATTTTTACTCATCTCAGTCCTTTCATTAG